TTTTTTTTTTTTTTTTTTGCGGAACCAGGGATTGAACTCAGGCCCTTGCACTTGCCAGGGAAGCGCTTATTCCACTGAGCCATCTCCCCGGTCCCTTCACTCTTGCCAGCAATGAGCATTTCTCCCTACAGCCTCACCAGGATTTGCTATTGGTTTCTGGATAGAAGCCATTCTTTATGAAGTGAGATGGACTCTGAGTGTTGTTTACTTTATATTTCTCAAATGTCCATTGACACTGAATAGTATTTCGGGTATTTATTGGCAATTTGTATTTCTTCATCAGAGCAGTGTTTATTCATTTCAAATGCCCATTTTTAATTAGGTCTTTAAATTTGGGGAAGTCTTAACTTTTTTGAGTTCTTTATACAATCTACATATTAGTCTGAGAAGCTGCCAGATTTTTTTCCCATTCTGTAGGGCAGAATGTTAGTGGTTCCTTTTGCTATGCAAAGGCTTTTTAGTTTCATGTAATCCCATGTGTTGAGTCCTGCATTTCTTGTGCAGCTAGAATTCAGTTCAAGAAATCCTTGTTTACACCTATGCCTGTAAGAGTTTTATCTCTTCTGTCTTCCACTAGGTTAAGTGCTTCTACAGTTTGGATCTTTCATCCATATTGAGTTCAAACCATCCATTTCCACCCTGACTACACACATTTCATAAATTTGGTAATACAATTACTATACGTAAGTAACAAGGACATCATTTACCATTTGCAACAGCTCACCCTCAACAGAAGAACTACCATGATAGAAATAAATATATTATTATGTCTCTGGAAATTTGGAAACCTTAGCAAATAAAAAAGAGGTTATAATCTGCCTCCAAAAAGTGGGGGAAAGAAAAAGAAACAACAGGAAATAAATGTGCATATCTGTAAGCAGTGTGTGTGTGTGTGTGCGTGCGTGCGTGTGTGTGTGTGTGTGTGTAGTGTTTGAAGAGTAAAACTGTGGACAAAATTTCATCAAATAATCAAAAGAGGAAATCACAAGGAATAAAAAACAAGTTAAACTCACATACCAGAAAATACTATTTTCTTATCATACAATAGTTCCAATAAAAAATGAGAAAAAAATCTGCAATAATTTTTTTAAAAATGGTAATGATTTTAAAAGACACACCAATGGGAAAGAATGGAGAGTCCCAAAGTAAGTTCACATGTCAACAACCAGCTTGCAGCAAGGTTTCTAAGAACACACGGAGGAGAAGGGATAGACTTTTCAATAAACGGTACAGGGGAAATGAGGTATCCATACGCAGAATAATGAAATTGGAATCCTATTTCTCACCAGTCACAATAATCAACTCTAAATGAATTAAAGATTTAAAAATAGTTCTAAAACTATGCAGCTACTTTAAAAAAAAAAAAAAGCATGGGGAAATACTGAAGGATATTGAAATGGGCATACATTATTTTCAACAAGATATCAAAAGCACAGAAACAAAAGCAAAAATACATAGGCGATTCAAACTACAAAGCATCTGCACAACAAAGACTCATCACAGGAAGAGCTAATCCAACAAATGGAACGAAGGATTTGCAAACTACATCTGGCAAGGAGTAATATCCAGGAGATATATGGTACTCTGTAAATTCAATCACAAAAATATAACCAACTAAAAAGCAGGTAACAGATTGGAATGTACAGCTCAAAAGAGAAGACATACAAATAGCCAAAGAAGTATATGAAAAAATGTTTGACATCACTAACCATCAGTGAAATACAAGACAAAAACACAGCAAGACATCATTTCATCCTGGTAAGAATAGCTATTATCAAACAGATAAAAGAAACGGTATAGGGGCCAGGGAGATGGCTCAGTAGAATACGCGCTTCCCTGGCAAGTGCAAGGGTCTGAGTTCAATTCCCGGTTCCGGGGGAAAAAAAAAAAAAAAAAGAAAAAGGAAACGGTATGGTGACACACACTTGTAATCCCAGCAGTGTGGAAGACTAAAGCCAAAGTATAACAAATTCAAGCCCAGCCTAGGCAATTTAGTGAGATCCCATCTCAAAATAAAAAGGCTGGAGATGTAGCTCAGTGTGAAGGCCCTGGATTCAAGCCACAGTACCACGAATAAATACATACATAAATAAGTAAATGAAAACAAGCACCAGCAAGGATGTAGAGAACTGAGATGTACGTGCCAGTTCCCTATAATGAATGTAACCATCATGTGCCACAAGGTGTACTAATAAAATTCACAGATAAATAAATGCAATAAAATAAAATAAAATTCCTCATTTGAGCACTCTGTAAGCACAGCTTGGATATCCATGAATTTTCAAAATTTACACTAGAAAACAAAAAGAAAATATCTTTCTCTGGAGGAATTTTCTTGCCAAAGAGATTGACAGGCTATTAAAAGACTACTTTACTCAGGCCTTTTTTATCCAGTAAGAGCCTTCGAATAACCAAGTCAAGAATGTACACAAACAGGAAAGATACTCTCCACAAAAGACTTAGCTCTTATGGTAAAAATGAGGAAAAACGCAAAGTAGAAGTTGCTGTTTTCAAACTAAGACGCTGGTGCTAAAGTAAAGAGTTTATAGTCCTCTATCAGCAGCAGACAGATTACCTGTAGGCATTTCAAATCTTGCTTTCAAGTCTCAAGAAAATCCCTACAGCATCCGCTTAACTGTTCGCCTTGTTGACATCCTATTCTGTGTTTATTCTTATTTCACATGCAGCGGGGAAACTTGAAATCAAACATGTAAGGAGTAATTTGAGAGCTTTACTTGGCTGGTACTGAAAAGCATGGAGAGCCCGTTCATAGGGCTTCTTATGTTAGTGCTTCCCAGTAGGCCTTCAATATTTTGTTTGAAGTGAATTTTCAACCATCTCTGTATTCAAAAGTATATCCATACAGATATTCTAAAGCTAATATAAATGATTTAGAGATTTTTATACTTTTATCACCTTCAGTCACTTAGAGAACAAAGTTATATTCACAAAACTGCCTTACACTAAAACATACAAAGTAATTTCACATTATGTTAATATAACAAAAAGTCTTTGTTGCACTTAATATGCTTATTTTCTGACACATTATAAAATTCAGGAGGAATACCAGTCCATGTAAATCAGTA